GATAAAGGTTCAATTTCATTATTTTGCATGTGGATAGCCAGTCTTTGGATACCCAATATCATTTATTGAAGAGACCATCTTTTCCCTATTGTGCTGTGTTAGTACCCTGTTTATTATTTGACTATAAATACATGAATTTATTTCTAGGCTTTTCATTCTGTTCCATTGGTCTTCTGTCTTTATTTCAGTACAATTCTGTTTTAATTATTTTAGCTTAGTAGTATGTTTTGAAGACAAGTACAAGGCTTCCAGCTTTGAGGTCCTTTGTAATTCCTTACAAATTTTAGAATTATTTTTCTATTCTTGTAAAAAGATGCCATTGAGATTTTGCTGGTATGGACATTTTAAGTCACTTATTAAGTCCTCCAATCCATAAACATGGGATGTCTTTCTACAGAATAGTCCTTTATTTTTAAAGAAATAGTATCTATAATTTAAATAATTCCTACAAAAAAATTTCCAGGCTAGGATGAATCATCAGTAAATTCTTCTAAACATTTACCTAAGAAGTAACAACAACCTAATACAACTCTCAAAGAGGAGAAAAAGAGGTTATACTCCCCAATTTGTGTTGAAGCCAGTGTAACCTTGACATAAAACCTGACAAGAACATTCCCAGGAAGAATAATTAAAGAACAATTTATCTCAGGAACATACATGTAAAAATTCTAAACAAAATGTTAGCAAATTGAACATAAATATTTTACATATAATCACAAGTGGGATTTATTCCAGAAATATATGAATATTAATCAATGTAATTCATCCATTAAAAGTAAAAGGAGGAAATTGATACAATTATCTCTATAGGCTTGGAAAAAGCAATTGATAAATGTCAACACCCATTCAGGATAAAAATTCTCAGGAAACTAGGAACAGAGGGGAAATGCCTCAACTTGATACAGATCATCTACAAATCTTTCACCAAAATCATACTTAATAGTAAATTACTGAAAGCTTAATTCCTGAAATTGATTATGAGATAAAGATGATTGTTATTACCATTTTATCCAGCATTTTACTAGCTAGCATCACATGGCAAGAATTAAAAAGACACCTTAGTCTGCTTGGGCTGCTATAACAAAATACCATAGGTTGTGTGTCTTAAACAACAGAAGTGTATTTCCCATGGTTCTAGAAGCTGAGAAGCCCATAATCAAGGGACTGGCCAATTCAGTTCCTGGTGAAAGCTCTCTTTGCAGCTTGTAGACAGCCTCCTTCTCTCTGTGTCCTCAAACAGTGGAAAGCCAGTGATCTCTGGTGTCTCTTCCTCATCCTATAATAGCATCAGCCCTGTGACCTCATTTAACCTTGATCACATCCTCATAGGCTCTTTCTCTAAATCTAGTCACACTGTAGAAATAAGTGCTTCAACATATGAATGGAAGGAGGTCACAATTCAGTCCACAGCAGAAGGTTTGAGAATAAAGAAGAATAAAATGACGTTGTACATTTTTGTAGATAATGTGATTATATTCAAATATAATTTAAAAATCTACAGATTAACTATTGACATTTATAAATGAATTTAAGAAATTTGTTGTATACAACGTCAACATACAAACATCAAGTGTAGTTCTATACACCAGCAGCAATAGAAAATGATATTTAAAAGGTATATTATTTACAACTGCATGAAAAACATTATTGTCTAGTACAAAACATCACCAAGGCAAAATTTGTGAAAAAAATTAATATATTTATGAGTTACAAGATAATATTCAAAAAATATTTATCTATTTATGACATCAAAAGATCTCTTAAATTGTATTCTCAATCAAAATTCCAGCAATTTGACAAGGTGATTCTAAAATTTCATGAAAATTCGTCCATTCACCAGGGCAAAAATACCCCAGCAACTTTGAAGTAGAAGGACTTTCATTACCAGATATCAAAACAGCTTCCAAAGTGAGAGACTGCCAGAAGCAGAGAGGAACAAACACAGTTCCATACTCAGCTGACTCTCCTTAGCTCCATTAGGGCAGAGAAAGTGCTAGTTCTCTGCCAACCCAGGATTAGGCCCTGTGGCTGCAGCAAAAAGAATCCCAGGAGAAAACTTAGGACGAAAAATGGAGATTTCAGACTGAAATTAATAAAAACCCTCAGAAAGGAAAAAAGGAAAAAGAAACCAGAAAAACCAATGGACTAATTAATTAAACTCTGGAGTGACAAGGAGATCCAGAGTTTCCTAAAAGAATGGAAGTTTCTTGACTTTGAAGAGTTCAGGAAGAAGAATCACACATGAGTTAAGACAACTGGCCAAAGACTCAAGCAGAGGGACATAAAGAAGAAAACTAGCAAGACTATCTCCAGATAATGAGTTTATAGAATTCACATTGGACAACTCATGAGGCCATACAAATGCCCTGTCCTTCTAAAGAGGCCTTACATGGAATTTTGGGATACAGCTGGAAGGACAAGGTCTTTTCAGGTCCTCTCTGTGCAGATGTGGTCATCTTTCCTGAGTATCAGCCGCAGGTATGTGCCATTATCATTCACAAGTCTATGTCATCGCTGTTGAGGGGCTGCTGCTGGCTCCCCGATCCAGGTACCCAAATAGAAGCCCTAGAACATGAGCCCTCCACTGTCAGTTCCATGCCTGTTTCCTCCTTCTTCTCAGCATTCCCCAGGCCCTAGCAGCAGTGGGCAACCTCTTCTGATTCTGATTCAGACCCTGAACTTAGAGACAATCAGAACCTGGATCCCAATTCTGTTGGAAAGCAAGGGAACAGCACAATCTATACAATGGTGCATGACTCTTTCCTCTCCTAGTCCAATATAATGACAATAAAATGTAAAATAAATGAATGACCATGTCCTTAAAAAATGACTTATTCTAAAACTACATTGACACAGTGTGATATGGGCTCACAGGTATACAAGTAGACCAGTGAAACATAAGAGAAAGTCCAGAAACATACCTACATATACATGGTAAAGTGATTAACGTTATAGATGACAGTGAATTATAATAAGAAAAGGATTACTGATTTTTTTCAATAAATGATACTAAGTCAACTGAATATTCATGTGGATAAAATAAAACATGACCCCTTACCTAACACTGTACATAATAAGTGCCTTCTAAATGGGAAAGGCACAACAATATACCTTTTAAAACAAACAAACAACAGAAGAATATCTTCAGGACCTGGAGTAGGCAAAGATTTCTTAAACAGAACACAAAAATGCTAACTATAAAGAAAAGGAAAATGGTAAATTATACTACATTAAAATTAAGAATGTCTCATCAAAAGACACCACTAATAGGGTGAAAAATTCATTATAGAGTGGATTCTATATAGTTATCCGATATAAGGCTCACATCCAGAAATCAACATATCAATAAGAGAAAGCAGACAACTCAATAAGAAAAAAATTGGTAAAATTCTTATCCAAACTTTCATAAAAGAGGCTATTCCAAATGGCCAATAAACATGAAAAAGTGTTCAATTTCATTAGTTAATGGAGAAATACAGATTAAAACCTCAATGAAATACCACTTATGTACACCAAAATGGCTATGATTTAAAAGACAGACAATACCAAGTGTTGGCAAGAATGTAAAACAGCTGGAACTCTCATGGATCTCTAGTTTGTATATAATTTGGTACAACCACTTCGGAAAACTGGTACTATATAGTTAAAACTAAACTTGGACAAACCTGTAACCCAGCATTTCTACTCTAAGATATTTACCAACAGAAAATGTATATTCATATTGTCATCAGAAGACATGCAAAAATTTCATAGCAGTGTTATTAGCAATAGCCAATAATTGGATGCAACTTATATCCATCAACAAAAGAATGGATAAATAAATGTGTTTTTCATACAATGGAGTTCTACACAGCAACAAAAATGAGCTATTGCTGGACACAAAAAATAGGATACCTATTCTATAATTCCATTCGAGCAAAATAGATAAAACTAGCAGACAAGAGTAATCTATAGTGGTAGAAGTTTCAACAGTGGTTACCTTTGGTACCATTCATTCATTCATTATCTATTTTTATAACATTAGGATCATATATAAGTTTTCATTCTGCTTATTTTCAATTCACATTTTATTTTGAGCATTTCCCATATCATTAAATATTCCTTGAAAGCATAATTTTAAGGGCTATTTAACATTTCACCATAGTTTAGTCATCACATTTCTAGGCTATTTAACATTTCACCATAGTTTAGTCATCATATTACTAGACTTAGTATCTTTAGAGGATAACTTAACACTACAAAAACATAAGTTATAATTGATATTACAAGAATTCTAACCATAATCACAAGTAAGCTACTGTTGGTTACCTTCTTGTATATGGTCTTAAGTGCTGGATTTAAAGATTCCTTGCTTATGTTTAGTCTGAAATTCCACGACTGTCTAATAGGTGTAGGTAAAGACATTATTTCTCCTCTTTCTTCAAACCAACACCTTCCCTATCAAAAATATTTAAGAAATAAAATAATTAAATAATCCACTTTTAAAAGATGCATACTATTGGTAAGTGGTTTAATTTGTCAGCTGGCGCACATACCTCCTCTAGTTTAAGCAGGCGATTTTCCATTTTGTTGCAGGTCTTTTTATATATTTCTGGCTTTCTCTGAATATAGAATCCTTCATCTTCTAAGAGGCGTGGCATCATACCTTTTGGCAGTTTACGCTGGTTGACCACTTAGTAACAACAAAACTTAGTTATTATTTTAAAGTCTAAAATATTGAATGGGTATTGACCAAATAAGAAGCACAAAGGCGCTATCATTATACACTATCACTGAAGTCCAGCAGAAAGCCTAAATATATACATATATGTATATGTACATATATTATATATATATATATATATATATATATATATATATGATGATTGAGTTCTCTCAACTCGAAGAAGGAAAAAAATATAGAAAACTTACTATAACTTTGGATCAGTGCTTTTTACTTATCTAGCACATAAAGAAGCTATTATTATCCTTTAATGTGATTAATCAATGCCTTGAATATTTTACTGGAAAAGAACATTACCTGGAGAACTACTTGGCACAAAAATAATTGCCTGCTGTTTTTCCATTCGTTCCAGATCATCTTCATATTCAGCAGCTTTTACTTCAAGTAAATCTGTAAACATGACTTCTTCCACAAAATCTTCGTCTTGGCTCTCAGTAACATTTTGCAAATTATAGCCAAGGGAAAAGAGTCTGGAGTCGCTATCATTTACTGATGACTGCTGAATACCAAAAAAGAAAAGCAAATCTGTATGTTTGTCTCCAATGATTAATAAACAGATAAATGAAATGTACTGGAACCCTACTGTGAACTATGTTTCTGATGCATGCCACCCAGTTCAAGTTCTACCTGAAACTGTTTTACAATGAAATTTCACTGAACACAGAAGGCTTAGCATTATATCATATAATTTTTCTGTAGCCCATCTTTGCAATTCTCCAATGAAAGACTGCTGAAGTTGAACTGTAATTAAGTCCTTTCTCCCCTGTGGAAAATGTTCTGAGATACTGGACTACATTTCAACTACTGAGAATTCACAGTGTAGGACAAGGTACAGAGATATCAGACAATGTGCTCCTAAATCCCATTTTTTTTCATCATTCAGAAAGCAGTACTACCTAAAGTGCTATAAAGTAGGCATGCAATTTTCTAGAAAATATTTAAGAAAAAGAAAAAACAAGACAACACAGATGTCTAGAATTACAGTGAAATTCTAAAATGTGACATATACATAGATAAAACAATTTGAATATAGGTATGAAAACAGACATATTACTAAATATTATATGATTATGAATATATCATAATCAGAAATTTAATGAGTCTATTAAATATAAAATAAGATAAAATCATCAATTTATTTCAGATGACTTGTCTAACTTGAAATCTGTGTTTATCAAATGAGAGTGTGTGTGAGTCATGCAAATAAAACCCCTCAATTATCAAAAATATACACTTAGTGTAAATAATAAGATAAAAAGAATTAGTCTCAGAATTCCTTTGAATAGAGAATCCTACATGGCCTTGATCAACTCTGACAAAATGTTAAAAGTAATGTGGTTAAGCATTAACTAGGTTCGTACCAAGTCATAATAACATCATACCCTCTGTCCTATCATGGTCATGATCTCAAGAAAAGATTTTATATCCAGAAATCTCTGTGGTTTATTTTTCAGAATTCAAACAAGGCATGACACCGACATCTAGAAGCAATATTTGGGCATCTCCAATAGGGAATTTCTTTGAAGAGTCCAATCACAGACTGAAAAGGGCTCTTGGCTCCAGCTGGAGTTTCCATTAACAAGTTTCCTTTACAGCACCCCCTGGCGTGGGCCAGGTCTTTCACCTGTCTTCAGAGCTAAGGTCTGCCCTGGTGGCTGAGGATGTCAGGCTCCCATCCTGAACCCGAGCCTCTGATTTAAGACCATATAGGTCTCTTTTGTGAGCCCTACCCAATCTATGTTTTTTAGCTGAGACAAGCTGTGAATGCAATCAATAGAAGCCCTTTCTGCCCAACTACTCCTCACTTAGGCTAAGTCCAGCTGCTATCTCAGATCACCTTTTTGGTTTCCACTATGCAGCTCACAGTAGAGCAGTGTCTGTGCTGAAGGCTGTTGTGTGACAGGGAGTATGAGGTCAGAAGATGTAAAAGTCTGGATGAATACAAGTGAGTATTGTGTGGTAAAAAAGCGATATCACCCCATCTCACAGGAACGTGCCTTGTTAACTGTGGTATGACAAGCAGAACTATTTGAAAGTATCCTCAGACTCCACTCTGAATTGCCCAGATGAGATATCTGGGGCCAGGGCTCCCTTTTCTCCCAGCAGAAAGGGTTCACAATCAAACTCAGCCTCTCACAAAAATAATGGCCTTCTTCTCTCTGTGATCGTGACAGTGGCCACCAGGTGCAAGGGCAGATGCTGTTCCAGACAGCGCTTCTAAATAGCTCTCATCTAAACCTGGTCTTCTTCATGCTCACGTGGCCCACGTGTCCACCCTCAGCTCCCACTGACTTAACTTCATTTATTCTCGTCCCTGAGAAGGAAAAGTAGCCAACACCATGGTGCCTGGCCCTGGTGAGCTCTGCCGGGTGGGAGTATCAGAGACAGGGACTTCTCTTTCTTTCTTTCTTTCTTTTTTTCCTGAAAAGCTTATTCCTTAACCCATATCATGGGATGCTGGAAGGTTGAGTGACTTGCTTACACCTTCTAATGGCTTCCTATCTCACTCAAAATAAAAACTAGAGTCCTTATGGGGTCTTCAGGCATGGGCACGTTTGATACCCATTTGTTCAATTTTATTCAAATATTCACCGAGTACCTGATATGTTCCAAGAAGAAATATGTGTTAAATGGTGATAAATGGTATGAAGAAAAATCAAGCAGGGTAAGGGGACAGAGAAAGTTAGGCTGAGTGGGTTGGAGGGGTACTACTTTAGATAGGGTTGTCAGGTACAGAATCTTTAATAATACGTCATTTGACCAGAGTCCCCAAATAGTGAGAGATAGAGCAAGAGGAGAAGGGAAGATCTTTCTAGGCAGATACCTAGATGCAAAGATGCTGAGGCAGGAACAGCATTCTGTGAGTGAAGAGGAAGGAAGCCAACATGGCTGGCGCTAGGTTAGAGAGGGGGAAAGCAGTAAGAAATGAAGTCAGAGAGGTACTAAGGAGGCCAGGTCATAGAAGGCCCTTGTAAGGACTTTAGTTTTTAAGCGAGATAGGAAACCATTCGAAGATGTAAGTAAAAGAATGGTCTTAGATTTTTTTGAGGGGGAGGGGTCTCACTCTTTCACCCAGGCCGGAATACAGTAACATGATCACAGCTCACCGTGATCAGCCTCAACCTCCTGGTCTCAGGCAATTCTTCCCCCTCAGCCTCTCAAGTAGCTAGGGCTACTGGTGCATGCCATCACACCTGGCTAATTTTTTTATTTGTTCTATAGCGACAAGGTCTCTTTAGGCTGTCCAGGCTGGTCTCAAACTACTGGGCTCAAGCTATCCTCCTGCCTGGGCCTCCCAAAGTGCTGGGATTACCATGCCCATCCTGCCTTAGATTTTAATAGGATCACTCTGATGACTGTATAATATGGAAAACAGACCATAAGGGGAATAATGAGTACAGACACAGAGAAAGACCATGGCAAATATCCAGATGAGAAGTTATGGTGAAGTTCCAGTGAAAGTAGCAAAAAATGGATCAGATATTGGAATACTTTGAAGGCAGAACCAACAGGATTTGTAATGAATTGGATACCAGACCTGTAAGTAAAACGGAATCCAAGGATGACACCGAGGTTTAGCAGAGCAACGAGAAAAATAAAATTGCCACTTAAACTACTGTGATTCTGTTGACATAAAACTCTGTGTGTGCATGTATGAACATGAGTAGAGGGAAAGGTATGAAAAAACGGTAGTAGTGATTATCTCAGGGCAGTGAGATTTCAGGTGATTTTTATGTTCTTCTTCATGGTTTTCTGCATTAAGTTTTTTTTTTTTGAGTTGGAGTCTCACTCTGTCGCCCAGACTGGAGTGCAGTGGCCGCTCCCGGCCACTGCAGCCTCGACCTGCTGGGCTCCGGTGATCCTTCCGCCTCAGCCTTCCGAGTAGCTGGAACTACAGGCATGCACTACCACGCCCGGCTAATTTTTGACTTATTGTAGAGATGAGGTCTAGCCAAGTTGTACAGGCGGGTCTCAAACCCCCGGGCTCAGGCAATCCACTCACCTCATGCCTTAAGTTTTTATGTGTATACTTTATTTATTCAAAATGTTAAAAGACAGATAATTTTAATTGTGAAAGAAACAGCAATCACAAAAAAGGAAGGAAAGGACTGGAGCCGAATGCAAAGAAAGGGGAAGGGACGGGAAGGGAAGTGGAAGGCAGAGAGGGTTCCAGAGGGGTTTGCAAGCGGGGCCCGAGCGATCTGGAAGTGACTGAGAAGTAGCAGAAGACATTAGAGGGGCCCATTGGGAGTAGGAGGTATTGGGTGGCGGGGGGCTCAAGAAAACTGTGGGAGACCCAGAGGTACAGAGGAACCGGAAAAGCATACAGGCGCAGGAGCAGATGGGGAGACCCCACAGCTGACACGTCAGGGATGGGCAAGGCTAGGGTGACTAACCCATAGGAAGGGAAGGGCCGTCACAGAGCCATGGGGAGACCGAGTAGCTTGAGGGGGACTGGAAAAGGCTGATGGGACTGGACTCGGAGGGATCAAGATGAGGGACCTATGAGGGGTCAGAGAAGTTATGACGAACAACATGGGGCACTTGGAGAGAAGGTCAGGGACAATAAAGATAGAAAAAACACAAGCCTTTGAGCTGACAGCCTGCACCTCCCAGCTCTACTAATGCTTAACCCTCTGTGCCTGTTTCCTCACCTAGAAAGTAAAGATAATCATAAGGCCCGATTCACAGAGTCATGATGAGGATGAGTTATACAATCCACTTAAAAAAACTGGTATATCACTGGGCATCCAGTAAGCACTCAATGAATATTAGGTACTATTATTTTGAACAGTCTCAGTTCAAGAGAAGAGGAAGGCGCAATAATACAAATTGCATCTCCTGCCCAAGAATTTCATTCTGTGCCTGTAATAAAGAAATCTTTTTCCTGAGAGGGAGGAGGTGGGAAGGAGGGGAACAAATCCAACCTGCTCTGAAGACTGGTCCAAGGCGGAGCCTTCTTCACCACTCAGAATGAAAAATGAAAGACCCTCATCCAACAAGACTTCAGCCTGTGGGGTAGGCAATGATAAACTAGTAGTTAGTGTTGAAACGAATGCTTTTTCTTCTTGTAAGGAAAGGAAACACCTTTCTGCGGTATAGTAAACAGCAATTGACATTGTAATAAAGGACAAGAAACAAGCAGCAAGGCGGACATCAAGTTATTTTTAGCCTTGAGTCTGTTTGGCTCAGAAGTTTGTATTTATTCATTTATTTTAATGTTTTGATAACTGTCATAAACCCAGAATAAAGTGGAGCCAGAATCTCCATCATCCCAAACGACCTCCTCACTCTAGTCTGAGCACTACCTCACACTTTGACCAAAAAGACGGTTCCGGTCAAACCTTTTCTCTCCCTGTTTTTGGGTGCTCTCAAGCAACCTCTATGCTCACACACACAAGTGCCACCTCACCCCACAATCTGTTGTGGAGTTAGAGGTAACTGAAAGTCTTAAGAATGGTATAATCTTAGTCATAAACTTGCTGATAAAGAAGCTCTCGTTTTTCAATTCAGGAATGTGCTGAATCTTTGAAATGGAAGTCACATCACGTCTTTCTCACGCATACATGTTAAAATGAACTGTTTTAAGGAAGGGTTGGGAAAGGAATCTACTCTGTAATAAGAAGTAAAACTCATAGTTTCTAGGAATTGAAGAATTAAAAATAAGTAAAATGCAAAAGCTCATCTTATATACTGTTTGTAGCTACCATTTAGCTGTCACATTAACTTTAAAATGGATTCACATTGCAATAACACTGCACCTATATACACTGTCGGTGAAGACTTTCACTTCACATTGTCTTGTTCATCTCAAAATCACCTGCTAAAATCCTTTACTTCCTGAGCAGGTATCTCTGTCTAGTAGTTGGTATAGAGACTCTTCCAAGACAATTTATCTTCTTCATCTTTTCTTGATACTCAGTGGATTAACCTGGACAAACTTTTTGACCATTCATAGTTTTTACTATTCATGGATAAATTATATCCAATTCAGGCATGTTTTTATCTACATATTGAATGAATAACATGCACATATCATTTTTAAAGTCTGCTTTTACTTTTAAATTTAATTAAAACAATTTTTATTAAGTACCTGAAGGAGCACTATGGAAGAGACAAAAATAAGTTAAAACAAACCTTGTATTTTGAAGTTTGCAAAATTAAATTCTCTAGGTGCATTTGGCAGAAACTACTAGTTGTTATGATCTTTTCTCCCATCTCTAATAATAGAACCTACTTTTAGTTGGATACCTAGACACTTCCAGACATTTGTTTAGTGGAAATGAAGTATGCAGGTCTGTAGGTCTTGTCCTGTAAAAGATTAACCTGCAATCCTTTGGCTCTATCTTCCCTTTAGCCAGCAAATAGAAGGACTGGACGTTTTACTTTGAATCTTTTCATTACAGCTACTTAGCCTATACTCTAAATAATACAGTTATTCAAAAATTTGAGTTCTTTTGTCATTTAAGTTCCAAACATGTGATCACATATTGAATTTTCAAATATTGATTACACATTGGATATCTGTAAGTTGGGGATCAACTATAGCATTGTTAAAGTAATTGTTTAATTGTTAATTGGGAAGTCATTTGACAGAGGCAGCTCTAGGACCCTGAGTTCCTATATAAGCAAACTGAAACCAAACTCATGAATAGTCATATCCAAGGAAAATGAAACAAGTTTTACCAATCAGAAACTACCAACTAATAGCGAACTAAAAATGTTAACGCAGCTGGGCTGGGTGACTCAGCCTGTAATCCCAAGTCTTTGGGAGGCTGAGGTGAGTGGATTGCCTGAGCCCGCAGGTTCGAGACCTGCCTGGGCAGCGAGACCTCATCTCTACAATAAATCAAAAAATCAGCCGGGCGTGGTAGCGCATGCCTGTAATTCCGGCTACTTGGAAGGCTGAGGCAGAAGGATCGCCGGAGCCCAGCAGGTCGAGGGTGCGGTGACCGGGAGCAGCCACTGCACTCCAGTCTGGGCGACAGAGTGAGACTCCAACTCAAAAAAAAAAAAAATTTTAACGCTATTGATCCACTTTAGTCAATCAAATATTTTTGTTTGTTTGTTTTTTTGCCTTGCTTTGGCATATTGCTTATAAAAGTTTTCCCTTCGTGTCACTATGATGGAACTCTGACCCCCTGCAGTCTATTGCCACCCAATTCATAAATTGCTGTCTGCTCAAACAAATCCTTTAAAATGTTAATGCACTTGAGGTTATCTTTTAACACTATTTTACTCTCTCTTTTTTAGGGTTAAAAAGTAATGCCAATTAACAATAGAGAGTGATGCAAATGGGCATGAGGGATCTTTTTTGGAGTGATGGAAATTGGATTGTGGTGCTGATTTCCTAATTCTGTTAGTTAACTAAGAATCACTGAATTATATCCTTAAAATGGGTGAATTTTTGCTGTGCAAAGTATACCTCCATAAAACTGCTTTTAAAAGTACAAAGACAGTCATTCACCTTAGACCACTGATATATCTTAGTATCAATGAGCAGCTGAGTTGAAGATTTTTCGCCTTGATTAATCTGAAACACAACATAAATAAATCTTTACAGAAGTAGACATAATTGTGCTGTAAGTCTTTTATCTAAATTTGATAAAAATCAATATTTCTCCAAGTTTTTATTTTAAAAAGTGTAACATGTTTATATGTGTATATATATTTTATACACACACACATATATATAACATATATTACTGAAATGTCACATATAATTACTATGACCAAATTACAACTTTTCTTGGATTTAGGTTTGACATTATAAGGATGTTATGACACAAAAGGAAAAAAACTAGGAATCTTTTTAGAATTAAGGAGCTATATTAAGACAATTTTAGCATTTTTTGACAAAAAACAGTTTATTGTGCTAGATGTCTCATTTAAACAGTAAATTTGAAAACAGGAAATTTTAAAAAGCATTACCTTAGTATTTTTAAACTTTTTTCTTACTTTGCCTCTCAATGTCTCTGTTATTTTTGGATCTTCTCCTGTGTCTAAATCTATCAGAAAACCAACATAATATGGAGTTCACGACACTTTCTTATAATTTAACAGCAATAGCAGCAAAAGTATGAAATACCTTAACTGCATGAACTTCTAAGCCTTATAACAATTATGAAGACTAGGTCATTGTCCCATGAAAGCTTAGAATCTAAGAATGGATGTCCCTTCCCCCTTCTCCATCTGGAATAAATACATCTTCATCTCTGATCAGGACTGACTTTTTGTGTGTGTGATGACTTTTCTTTCTTTGGCAAAAAAAAAAAAAAAGATAAATTCAGCTCAGATAAGCAAATCTTCATCTTTTTTCTTTTAAAAAAAATCCATATTCCATATAAACATGTCTGTGAGATATACAAATAACACATGCAGGCTATTTCACTGTGATTTAACTGGCAAGAAAGGATTCTGAAGAGAGATAAGTCTCTAGGTACCCATTTTAACTACTTATTTTAGTTTTGTAAAATCAGTGTGATAGTTCTATCCCCTACTTCTACCAGATGTTAGCAGAAATGAAACCATTTTGCAGGGTACACAGAAGGTTCCAGCTGTTGTGTGCACTCCAAACTATGTGATGCTTTCTGCTCGTCTACTGGATGATCCACTGGATGGATTGAGAAAGAAAGAGACTGTGCAGTCCTCTCTCTGTACAGTAAAACATGGAGGACCTTACTGGTCATTCTGCCTTGCATTTTGCTTTTGCTTCTCCCTGCCTTTGAGTACTTAAAGTTTACATAGAAGATAGGGGAAATAAAGGGTAAGGATAAAGCTAAATCACTATCAGACATGAGAAGCTTCATTCTTAACCACAGAATTCCTTGGTCTAACTTAAAAATTAGTAGTCGGTTTTGTTTATACTCTAGTCCCACAACTTAGAAAGGCAGATGCACATCATAGGTGCTCAATAAATATTTGTTTGGCGAATGAACCAGGGCCCAACCATTAATTATGTATTTTTCTTCCTGAGATTTGAAGCTTCCTGAAGCAGGTTCTGTATCTATGTATCTTTGTGATCTAACACAGTCTCACATGCTAGTGGATTCTTAGATTCTTAGAGACAGAAAAATTGAGAAAATGGAACTAAGTGTATTTGTATTTACTTTTCTAATATTAACTTAACTTATGCGCATCTTGTATTGTCTAGGAAGTTTAATTTCCATTTAAACTCATTGCTTAAGACACTTAAGATACCAGCTTAAATCTTAGGATACGATTAATCATTTACATCTTTTAAAAATAAAACCAAGTATATCAGAGTTGTGGTATGCTTATTTAGAACCTTTTTGGAGTTGGTTATCTACAGTTTCTTCAACTGCAATGTTACGTGTATCATTTGACATCTGCAAAAAAAAAAAAAGAAGAAGAAAGCATTAACCATCTTGTTTTGCCATTGAACACCTTTTCATATAATCATCAGCCCTTTGAACATTGTCTCCTTTACAATACCAGTGTGCATCCTTTGCCTGTCTTCTTAAATTTCATCTTTTTATCAATTTGTATACATTCTTCATATATGGTGGAGTTTTAAGTTAAGAAATTGCTCTCTGTACGATCAGAAAGGACCTTTTAATGATAAAATCCAGGGGTTAGTTCTTAGTGTTCACGTATTGCCTACTTCATGTATCTTTTAGGAGGGTCAAGTGAAATCAGAAACCATATATGAAAATACTCTGAAAATTCATTGCTGGCAGGGCAAGGTGGCTCATGCCTATAATCCCAGTATTTTGGGAGGCCAAGACAGGACGGATTGCTTGAGCCCAGGAGTTTGAGACTAACCTGGGCAATATAGCAAGATCGTGTCGCTACAAAAAATAAAAAACTATTAGCTGGGTGTGGTGGCACACACCTGTAGTCCCAATTACTCAGGAGAAGAGGTGGAAGGATCACCGGAATCCCTGAATCCAGGAGACTGAGACTGTGGTGAGCCGTGATGGTTTTACAGAATTCCATCCTGGGCAACAGAGTGAGACTCTAACTCCAAAAAAAAAAAAAAAAAAAGCTAAACTAGTGTTAGCTATTACCTGATTGATAGCCTGTAGCATCTGACAATATTGAGCACCCTCATTTTCTAAAACTTTTTATATCCTTGCCCTCTACCCTCGCAATCTCTCTAGCCACTTATCCCTTATATCCTTCAATGATCACACTTCTCCCTACAGCCTAAATGTGGGTACATTCCAAGGCTTTCCCAAATCTGTGTCGTCAGCCTTGACTGCTCTCCTAAGTATCAAAACCACATTCCCAGCTACCTCCCGGTAATTCTAACTGAATGTCTTACACAAATTCAGTATGTTACAATGAGCATTTATTTTTCAGTTTTTTTAAACCTCAATATTCTAAAGGTAAACTATTCTAGCAATGTTCAGTCCTTTTTAGGATGATACAGAGTATTCATTTGTTTTTAGTTTTAAGAAATATAATAGCAAAGACACCTGTAATAACCACTGTACATGCTAACCAAATGAATGTTTAATTGGAAAGATCAAACAGATACACAGCAGCTTTCCAATCACGGTAAAAACATGGATTCATGACAAGAACCAAAGCAGGCTATTAACATGATCACAGTAAAAACATTATCACAAAAAGAGCTCAGTCTACATACTTTCTGAAAGAACTTCAAAATCCACCAGTCATTCCTGTACCACTATTAAGGACTACAGAATGTCAACATGACCTAAAGTGCTTCCTTACTTCTTATTCTACCTTCAGTCCCCTCAAGACAGTTAAAAAGACCTAATTCTAATCTTGACCAGGAACAGCAACCGTTGAAGGTATAATGGAACGACAATCCTGGAAAGTGATTAACAGAGGTCTCCCTTTCATTCCCCAAAATCTCACCCACCATTCCCAAGACTCTATACTTTTTCATAACTTCCCATCTTCATCTGGAAGGCAGGGATAAAATATGAATCTTAATTGGAGTTACTCTAAGAGACACATAGATATTGGCCCTAATAGATTTCATTCACTGACTAAAAAAATTAGTTTTAGTGAAACAGGGAACGGCTTGCTGGTTAGTTGAGAGAACACATAAATAAATATTTCAGTAAGAGATTAAATAAACACATACATAAGTTACTCATCTCTAATGCTCCTTATTAAGTGACTGACCAAATAAGAGTACAATTTATTCCTAAATTCTCCTATTGTTTACTTAACATATGAACTGATGATTTATATGGAAGCAAATGTATCACATTTATTAGGGTTACCCTACACTTATAATTGGACTATTTAGAATAATCAAAATCCATATAAACTCTATTAATACCCTAGCTTCTAAGAATGTCTTCTCTTTGAGATCTTTTTTATAATGGTTCTTTCATCCACTTTCTAAATAAATAAGAAACAGCCTTAAGAATGATATATCATGTTACTGAAAGAAAACTAGTGTGCTACTACAGAAGAAATTTTGCTATTTAAAAATTTAAATTTAACTAGAAACAGAACAAAGAAATATACTATCACTCTTAGTATTTAATATGTAGTATTTGATCACCTTTAGTATTTAATATAACCTCGGTTAATGCAATAAGACCTGCAAAAGAAAAGGTATAACAATTAGAAGGGGAAGACAAAATTAACATTGTAGATGACAATTTTAACATATGGAAAACCCAAGAGATGCAATTTTAAAAGTTTACGTATAATGAAAAAGTTAGTAGGTGACAGGACACAAGAGAAAATGTGTAAAAGTCAGTATCTTCCCCATATTCTAAGGTGACAGAAAAAGATCACTTTTTTATTTTTTTGAGTTGAGGGTCTCACTTTGTCACCCAGGCTGGAGTGTAGAGGCATGATCACAGCTCACTGAAGCCTTGACTTCCTGGGCTCAGGTGATCCTTCCCCCTCAGTCCGTCAAGTAGCTGGGACTGCAGGCATGTACCACCACACCTGGCTAATTTTTTGATGTTTGTCAGAGATGGCATCTTGCTATGTTGCCTAGGCTGGTCTCAAACTTCTGGGCTCAAACAATCTTCTTTCCTCCGGCATCCAAAGTTCTGGGATCACAGGCATGAGCCACCACACCCAGCCAAAAAAATATCACTTTCACAGCAAAGATACAAAAAAATTTCAAAATACTTAGCAATTATTTCAATCAAAATATGTAGGAACGCTCCTCTCTCCAAAAGTATAAAAATTTACAGTGAGAAAAAAGGGATATAATTATAAACATAGTCTATGGTGGCAGCGAGATTGACTAAGAGACTATTTAGCAAGACTAAAGATCTGAATTTTAAAATGGAGATGAGAATGAAGAGTGGAGATTCATTTATGAAGCAAAATTCACAGGGTTTTGTGAGCAATCAGATGTGTAGGACAAAGTGAGGAGGGAATCAAGGAGGAGGTTTTTTGGCTTGGTTAACTAACAGGTAGCATCATTTCAAGTACTGTCAAAATAGGGAGGAGTTGAGGTTAGGGATTAATTAGTTCAGTGCAATGCTGCTTATAGATGTTTATAAGACTTGAAAGTGAGAGGTCTGGAGGGTGGTTAAAAATACTAAATAAGAGAATTAGATCTATGTTAGCTAAAGTTTCTGTCTAATCAGTTAAAAAAAAGGCACTTAAGACATTAAACTAAAGACTCCTTAGAAGATTATCCACACTTTTAAGATTATTTCTACTAACATACCAGTATTAGATAAAACAAGAATAGGATGGCAAGAAAAGAGAATGTTGGATTTAATTTAATTTAATTTAACTTAATTTAATGTTCTGAGAACTTCTAAAGTGAACTTCAAATCAATACCTGGCTTATTGATACCTATACCTGCAAATGCTGACTGCCACACTAGGGAAAACATTAGCAGTGACACCTCGTCTAGATAGTAAAATTATAATAAATTATCAAATGAAATGTTATTGCAGAAATTATTAGTTATATTTTTGCAGACCTGCAATCTTCCTAACCTGTTCATTTATCATTCTATATAAGAGATAAGATAAATGATTATAGACAAAATATTGGATAAAATTGCAGATCTAGATGAAAACTGCATGTGCTTTACTGAAATCTCAAGCAGAAATAAGGAAAACCTAACAATGTAGACTTTTGCCTTCTTATAGCAATTTAACTGTCTGTTAGAAAACTGACTTCAACAGTAAAACACAATCTTCTTTTTGAGGATATTGCTAATTCACGATACTTGCAGTTAAAGCTTTTTCTAAAGGATAAAGAAATAGAGAATCAGCGATTTTTTATATCAGATGACCTGAGAGTCATTGTCAAAGCCTGAAAATTAAATCTAGCAGTTCATTTAGCCTTTTCTGATTCATAGCAAATAGAAGCAAATTTAATTTGTACAAATGTTTTCTTTTTGCTTAACATTTAGAAACATCTGGGATCTGCAAATTATCCAGCGGTGCTCTATTACAATGATGACTCCTGAAATAAAATTTCCTAAGACTTAGGTTGTGTGTAAATTTAACATTCAAATAGGAATGTATCACTTGACCTTTGAAAAGCTAAAAAAAATATGGTTGTACAGGAGATCTGTTCCTAGATAGACTTGATATATGAAATTATGCAAAAAAAGTCCAAATTGTAGTTTTGCGAACATTTGTCTCTGTTAATGAAGTCTACGTGGAAACAGATGTGATAAAATATTTTTTAAAATTTACGTTGCTATCACCTACTCCTAGTAAAATAGATTCTACCATAGATTCTTAATTTACA